GCTTCAAAATAATTTTTTAGGGCTTGTAAGCATCATCCTTTCACACTAGGCTAAAGTGATTTGGCATCTGCAACAGCTACGCTTTGCAAAAGCTTCCTCTTGGCGCAAAAGATACTAATATATAAAATGAAATTCGTTGCATTAAATTCACACATAAGCAAACACCAGATATAAAATAAACGAAGGAAATCAAACATACTGTAAAAAATTTACGTTCAATTCAGGAACTCTGCTCGCTTGTTCAAAGCTACCTAGAAATATACGAATAAAGCGCCATGGCAAAACTTTAAGAAAGCAAACCAATAGTTTCGTCGAACTCCTCGTCACTTGCGGTGGTCCGCTGGCCTTCTTCGGTTAACCTCCTTTGTTGAAGACGTGAAGCCATGAAACTGGAATCGAAATAATCACGTCATAACAACGTAATGGTTGAATGACAACTGTGGAATAATTAAGCTCCAGAAAACTTCATACTTAATCAACTTTACAATCACACAGAGCAAACGATTTCACAGGGACTATAGCGTTTCTTTGTAGATTCTAATTTCTTTTAAAAACGGAAGTAGTCTTTTTATGGGAATTCAGTTCATTATTCGAAACATTCTTCATGGAATGAAAGCGCATATCGAATTTATTACATAAATATTCTGGAACACCGGATCATGCTTGGTCCGTAGACAGGGAGAGGGAGGATTCACCTTCAGGGAGAGTTATAAAACAGATATTTTTAGATTATCGTTCCAATAATATTATTTCCAACTTTAAAACGATTCAATGGTAGTGAAGGGATGGAAATCAGAACGTGGGGGTTTACCCGTATCATTTCACAGCCCATTGCTTCTGCTCGCGTAAGGAGACCATTTTATCAAGCGATGGCTCAATACTATTTACGCTACCGCAGTGCATAGTCGCCATAAACCTAGTCACTGAGCCACAACATACCAACTCGTAGCTGGAGAGAGCAAAACGAATGCTTTCCAAACTACGCAATGCTCAACAGCGTTACAAAAAATGGTAGTACTAATTATGAGCTTTTGGTCAGTAGTCTGCTTTAGGTCGTGGCTATATGGACGGAAAGGATATTTCCACAAAGGACAGTTTAGGACACCGACAACATGCACAACAGTATGGTAAGGCTGGATACAAACGAATTTCTGTATGTGACTTTACAACACACATTTCTGTAATTTACGTAAATAAAACATACAAATGCCGTTTGGCAGTGTATACTTTTCCGGTACAACGCAATACCCAGCACCTTACAGTAGAAAAATTAAGAACCGGACGATGCAAAATATACAAGATACTAGAAGCCAGGGATGTTCCGCTAATGATGTAACGCGATAATCGGCAACACTAACAGAAGCCAGTGTTATAACGACCTGCTGGATTAAACAAAAGTTCCACCGAATAGAGAACCTAGTGAAGTTCTATCTAAAATCCGAGATTCCACCAGGCCAAGTACAATCTTCAGGAGATTTTCGTTTTGAATTTCATCCGTGTGCTCGGATCGCAGTGAAGCTCTCGCATAAACTTCGCGAAACTCCTGAGTGATGAGAAGTTCCCATTCATGAGACGGACAAAGATTTCGAACTGACCATAGGCCATCGAATTCTGTTGTGATGACTCTGCAATATCAGTACAGCAGTGCGCAGTCTGCGGTCCCAAGTGTCAATTTATGTCATTGGCAGATGGTCACCTATATCAATTATTTGACTTCGCCTTTAAATTACCGATCAATGGAAATTTTTCTTATAGTTTAATGCGATGTTAACAGTTTGAGAATGGCTTTGTACTGTGCTCGGAGAGATTTTCATTGATAGGCAATATAAAAGCGAAATCAAATAACTAACATCTAATAATAATCAGATGACCATCTACCAATGACAGACTCTTATTCGTGACCGCAGACTGTGCACTGAGTACTGGCATCGCACAGCCATAACAATGGAAATGTAATAAGAAATTCACTAGACCGACAACAGCATCATATATAACATGTTGGGCAGAATCACGTAATTCATGCAGTTGACCACCGTCCAGTAATACACATTCAATGCAGCGACTGCAGGACTAAGCGCTGAAACCAACCAATGGCTTCCGTCAAAACTTCATAGACCGTTGTTTATGTGCATCTAAATGTTGCTAGGTACTGCACGCATTCATTTCTTAAATTTCACACATTATTCCCAAAATTATTTTTGTTTTCTGAAACCACAATCGAAACTATGATGCAAAAAGGAATTGGATGCAGTACAACAGCGTTTACATTCAAACACAGTCTTACTTGTGAATAAACTTTTCGTCTGCAGGAATGCTTTCGGCCGGCTGTTGCGCGTACTGGTCAGAAGTGACGGCCAGACGTTTGACTCCCCAAGGATCATAGCTTTTGCGCTTGAAAATATGCGGCTTTGAGGCTGAAAAAGGAGGGACGCAAAATAGGTAATCAAACATCAATGGTGAATGATTGGTCAACAACCGTTTGCCGTGGTGTCGGTGACCAGCGTCTTCGGATTTTTGAACACGAAGCGTTCCAAAAAGTGCGCCAGCGAAAAGTCCTCCAACGGGTTGCCGGGATAGTTCATGCTTTCTTCCTAAACAATTAATTTTTGAAATCGAATTCTATTGCAAACATAGGTGATTACGGGACAATTCACAAGTCAAAAAACTTTTCAAGTGTGACATTAATCAAATTTAATAATACGACGAAAATTTAGAGTTAGGCAAATTATCCTGAAAGGGTTACACAAAAAAATTCGAATTATAAAAGTTTTATTTATCGTGCTGCGCTTTCGACACTCGAAAGCCACATGCTGCATGCTGTGTCTTCCTCAGTCTCACTTTGTTTCCTACTGAAAACTAAAAGGTCATGTATTCGTATTCATACACATAACATAAATTCTTTTATTTGCGTTCGCTGAGTCAGAGTACAGTTATGAATGGAACAAGGAACACAACTGGATAAAATAAATCGTAAACACATGAAAAATGATTTAAAAATGAAAATGAAACATGAAAGTGGAAAAAGCTTAACGGCCATAATATCAGATCATTGTCTCGCACAATCAGCAGTGAATACTACTGTGAAAAACGTTGTTCGTATAAAGAAACATGTGAAATTACCAGCCTGTTTAGCCATTGTTGAATATCTCTCGGAAATTTCATAAGATTTTGAACGACCAACTTAAACATTTTTTATTGTTACATTTTCTCATACTATTTATACCGCATTATATTACTTGCACCAATAATACTGAAATTTAATTTGGGTATCTTATCAATGAAACCAAAAAATAACCTTTGAAACATGTTAGTGCATTACAGTATACATCAAGAGTAAGCACATTATCAATAAGGTGTGATTAATGAGTGGGACGGGTTAAATCAGACTTACATAAAATTTATGCGGCGTAAAAGTTCGTTGAATGTAACGCTTAGATAATTCGGGTTGTGCCATTACAGGGAACTGATAAAATAAAAAGATCCGCGCTACCTGAAGGACAGATCGGGCGAAGAGCATGGCAGAAGGGTGGAAGTGCTTCAGGAGTTGCTCGAATTCAACTTCTTGAGAATACTGAACTCCGCAGTGCATTGGTTCGCGATGAAGGGGATCATAGTGATCGAGCTTCGTTTCGGTACCTGAAAAATTCAACCAATGGTTGACTGGATGGAAACTACAAATTCGTACTTGACGGGTTCTGTTTGTGTACCCACGTCGACGGCTGGCGGTTTTCTTTAGACACGCTACCGCTAATCATGGATTCGTGGTCCGAGTCTGCCCCGTGCGTGTCCACAAAACGTTCTTCGTCGTCAGCCAACAGATCAGAGTTCTAAGCAGTTTCTTTTCACGGTTACTTTGTTAATAGTGAAACAAGAGGAAATGCCACTATACAATCTGAATTTCGTCTCGCCAGCTGAACACTTCTTTCCTCTCTTTGGCGATCTCGGATATCATCAGCATCGTCGAGCAAATGACTGTTGGCGGGCAGTGTAGACAAACCTGCAACAGGCGTTTGATAAAGGCACGAACACGGATTTCAATCGGGTCGTTCTTCAGCGCCAAATACATCAGATGAAAAAAGAACCCGTAGCTTTTCGTTCCAAACACTAGCGCCGGATCCAGCAGTTTTTTATAAAGCGAGCGATAAAACCTGTCGTTCATGCCAACGCTAAAACAAATTAGTTAACAAACGAGTTAAAATTAGCAATTCAACGGCATTCCAGAAAAGTTAGTAGCGTTCAATGAAACAAACAAAAACAAATAAATTGAAACAAAAATTTAGAAGACATGGATGACATACCGAGCGCACTTACAGCGAGACAAAGAGATCACAGTTTCTAGTAAATCACCTGTTTCGTTCAGTGATTAGATATCAGTAGTAGGTGATTATATCAACCAACCATGTCTTTGACTCATTTTAACAAACGTTTATCATTCGGCAACTGTTTTTATATTTCGTTTTAAAAAATATATCAATAAAAACTAGGAGAAAACTGACATTCATACAAAATTACACCGACTCAGACTTGCTGAGATATTCCTGCGCAGATCCAGAATAACTGCTACTTTAACTATTGCTACAGTTGTCTTTGCTGCGACAAACACAACGATCACAATTATAATCACCGATGATCATTATCATCCTCATCATGAATATCATCATCGTCACTTCTGTCGCTCTCATAATCATTAATATTTTATTTATCATATCATCGCCACCGCCATTACTACCAAATTATTACCATCACCATTTATTTTTCAGTTTTATATGCAAGGGTTACATTACGCTTTGATTGTTGTTACACGATCGCTTTCCTCAAGCGAAGTGATATCGTGTACTGACCTTACGAGAATGGTGACCGAGTGTCCTGGTTGGAACCTGAAATTATGATATTGTGACCCTACAGCCTGTCGCTCCAGGAACTGAGTGGCCGGGGAACAGTGATAATACAGCATAACAAACAGAAGCTTCAAGTCGTTACGCCCTATTCACATATAAGCACACCAAAAATTATAATAGTTCGTATCATAAAGGTACATAAATATTTACGTATTCAAGAAAAGTCAAATTATTACCCCCTTGCTTATCTCTATGCGAGGCTATGAGTGGAGCTATTTAAGTAAGCCAAGGTTTTATAATATTTTAATACCTGCAATGCTTTGACGCATAACACATAGTTTTATTTCTTTTATTACTGGACGGTAATAACTACACAAACATTTGTTTCACGTTCTGTTACTTCATTCTCTTGCTTCTAATAATTCCGCCGTTCAAACAGTTCGTGGTTTCACAGTATTTGAATTTCTGTATCACACATCATTTTACGCACTAGAGCAATATGTCAAGTCATAAGTGAATTTATGGCATTATATGACGAATAATTCCATTTTGGCAGATATGTTCCCATTAGAATTCTTTAATGCAAGGAGCAAAATTTCTGATGTGTACTGGAAGGCATATGGAAAACGGCTTCTGAAACATCGCCGGCGATGAGCGATTCATCTACTGCGCACTAACAAATCTTCCTGCTCGTTTACTTTACTGACACAAAAGGATTTTACCGAAAGTTATCTACAAATCAACCGCTTCCTTCCTAATCACGCTCACCGTGACCCTGATTAAGGGTGATGCCACTGCCGTAATAAACGCACGTTTAAATAAAATTAAACAGCCGTAAAACCAAAAATTTTCTTACAAATCAACGTGACATCAAAATGGCAAATTACGTAAAGACCGGCAAGACCGTAAATTTTAAACAACTTTATGAAACACACTGAGCGGATTGATGAAACTGAAACTCTAAGGATAGATTTTCTTCCAAAGAAGTTTTCAAGGGATGTAGACAGTGGTTTTGGAATGAAGTTTACAAAGTTTACAAGTTTGTTTACGTGAACAGATTTTATCACTTAATTATTTAAATAGCTTAGGTCAAACTGAGGGAGTGCGTAACTACTGCCACTGCTGAACTGAGAGCAAGATTCGTAGCAATTCAGCATCTTAATGTGGGTATGCTCAAACTTGGCATAGCTGCCCTCCTACTTTTGGATAATGAGCTAAGTTATGGTACTGGATTATGGATTTTTTTCGTGAAATCTGAATGTGCATGGTGAATGCACGGTGAAAGACTTGAACTAATCTCCTGCGTAGAAAAACAGTGTTTAATTTTCCAGTTTTTCACCCAATTATAAAAAACACTCAAGATGACAAACGAAAGCCATGACATCGGCACCAACGCAGAATTTATCAGCTACAAAATGGGAAGAAATCTACAGCAGGTTTGGCCTGAGTAACAAGAGGCTCACCACCCTGAGATGCAATATCGTAGCGGATATTGCTTCAGACTCAACAACGGCTGCGAACTTCGTGAACAGAAACTAAACAACGAAAATAATTTAAAAAAGAGCATATTAAAATAAAGTCTTTGCGAACCTTAGTCGAAAATCAGTGCTTATGTCCGACTGAAAACTTCTTTGGAAGAACACTGAGATTTCGATTTGCTCGTTAAGGCTGTTTCACGCAGAACACGGTCAGCGAGGCATAGATCAAAGACGCGGTTTGGGGCTTATTGTCGTTGCACTCTGCTGCACCCAGTTTCTCATAATAAACAGCTTTCCTTGTTTACAACAGCATAAAGTGACTAAAACTATAACTGTTCGTTGCTGTTCACGAT